CATATTTTTTATCTTTTTCTTAGATAAATCCCTTTAACATTTCACATAATAAGGGCTTGGTGATAATGAGCACCTTTACTTATGAAGTTTTGTGGGTTTTTTAAAGATTGTTAATTTCTTTTTAGAGAGACAGAGTAGGGAGGGAGAAAGAGAGGGAGAGAAATCTGTGTGTGGTTGCCTCCTGCATGCTCCTAACCAGAGACCAAACCCTCAACGCAGGCATGTGCCCTGCCTGGGAATCGAACCGGTGACCTTTTGGTTTGTGGGATGATGCACAACCCACTGAGCCACAACGGTCAGGGTGAGAGTCAATGTATGTTTCAAGAGAAAAACACCTCCTTTTATCTGTTGCAGCCTTTGAAGAAGATGGTGGAGAGAATTCGCAAATTCCAGATTCTGAACGACGAGATCATCGCCATCTTGGACAAGTACCTGAAGTCGGGCGACGGGGAGAGCACGCCCGTGGAGCACGTGCGCTGCTTCCAGCCGCCCATCCACCAGTCCCTGGCCAGCAGCTGAGGGCACGCGTGTCTCCTGCTTTTGAAGAGTCCCAGTCCTGACCACACTCAGTAACTATAGGGCATGTTTTTCATCAAAAAGTGAGATTTTTAGGGACTGTTTGTCAGTATCTTTGTACCTGTTCAAGGGGGTGCTTTTCGACCTGAAAGCTGAATTTTATAAAATCGACTTATTTTTCTAGACTAAAATTGTATATGCTTTTGGTAATTAGGAAGTCGGCGACTTTCGGCTGCCGATTGTCGCCATCATCACCCTCACACAAAGTTATTCTCCGTTTTTCTATGGAATGTCATACAGTGCTGCTGAGTTCATCCCTTTACCCCGTTGCCAAGGATCAGTGATATTTAGGGAGAGATTTATAACCTGAAGCAAGAAACTTAATACCAGCGAATTGTAATAAAACCCGTTACCACTTAGAATGAAAGTGAATGATGATTTAGCTTTTGTTTAGGGATTTTTCTAACGGTCTTTTATGCATTCTCAGTCATTGTACCCTTCCCTTTTTTGTCAAATGTTTCAGAAAATAGTGACCTTGATATTCCTGTTTCTACTAAATCCGGTTGTAACAAAATCTAATTTGTGAGGGACAATTGAAAGCTCACAGAAATAAAACTAATGAAACCTATTTGTGGTCATTCATGGACGGTGCCCCCGTGTGCCCTGGCTCGGGCAGGTACTGACTGTCGCCCCTTTGTTGCTGCTGCAGACTGGGCACAGGTCTGGGTCTCTGCCCCTGCAGCCCTGGAGAAGCACTGATGTCCAGGAGCATCATACGTACTACTGAAAATGGTGTGGAGCCCTGGCTGGTGTAGCTCAGTGGATGTACCCTAGGCCTGCGAACCAAAGGGTCACCAGTTTGATTCCCAGTCAGGGCACGTGCTTGGGTTGCAGGCCAGGTCCCCAGTAGGGGGCATGCAAGAGGCAACCACACATGGATATTTCTTTCCCTTTTTCTCTCTCCCTTCCCCTTTCTCTAGAAATAAGTAAAATCTTTAAAAAAATGGTGTTTACTCTTCCACTGTGCTGGTTGACCTTAGATGAAGGGAAATAAAACTAGTTTTCACCAAGTTACCTAAAACTGTTTTTTTTTTAATTTTATTTATTCATTTTTAGAGCAAGGGGGAGGGAGGGAGAATCCAGTCGTCTTGCACACGGCCACAACTGGGGATCTGGTGCACAACCCAGGCGTGTACCCTGACTGGGAATCGAACCCGTGACCTTTCGGTTTGCAGGCTGGCACTCAATCCACTGAGCCACATCAGCTAGGGCAAGCTATTTTTTTTTTTTCTTTAAAAAATTTTATTGGAAACATTTTTAGACTAGACATGTTAAATGATATGCTAATGCACATATAAAAAATGAGTGAAATATGGTGAAAGTGTTCATTGTTAACATTCTGCCTTTTTCTTTTTTTAATATATTTTATTGATTATGCTACTACAGTTGTCCCATTTCCCCCCTTCACCCTGCACAGCCCCTCTTACCCACATTCCCCCCCTTTAGTTCATGTCCATGTATCGTAAGTTCTTTAGTTTCTACATTTCCCATACTATTCTTGCCCTCCCACTGTCTATTTTCTCCCTACCGTCTATGCTACTTATTCTCTGTACCTTTTCCCCCTTTCTCCTCCTCCCACTCCCCTGTTGCTAACCCTCCATGTGATCTCCATTTCTGTGGTTCTGTTCCTGTTCTAGTTGTTTGCTTAGTTTCTTTTGGTTTTGCTTTAGGTGTGGTTGTTAATAATTGTGAGTTTGCTGTCATTTTACTATACTTGTTTTTGATCTTCTTTTTCTTAGATAAGTCCCTTTAACATTTCATAAAATAAGGGCTTGGTGATGATGAATTCCTTTAACTTGACCTCATCTGAGAAGCACTTTATCTTCCCTTCCATTCTAAATGAAAGCTTTGCTGGATAGAGCAATCTTGGATGGAGGTCCTTGCCTTTCATGACTTGGAATACTTCTTTCCAGCCCCTTCTTGCCTGGAAGGTCTCTTTTGAGAAATCAGCTGACAGTCTGATGGGAACTCCTCTGTAGGTGACTGTCCCCTTATCTCTTGCTGCTTCTAGGATTCTCTCTTTCATTTTTACCTTGGGTAATGTAATCACGATGTGCCTTGGTGTGTTCCTCCTTGGGTCCAACTTCTTTGGAGTTTCCTGGACTTCCTGGAAGTTTATTTCCTTTGCCAAATTGGGGAAGTTCTCCTTTATTATTTGTTCAAATAAGTTTTATACTTGTTGCTCTTCCTCTTCCCCTTCTGGTACTCTTATAATTTGGATGTTGGAATGTTTAAAGATGTCCTGGAGGTTCGTAAGTGTCTCCTCATTTTTTGGAATTGTTATTTTTCCATTCTTTTGTTTAGTTGTTTCTTTCTTCCTCCTGGTCCACTCCATTGATTTGAATCCCAGTTTCCTTCCCATCACTATTGGTTCCCTATGCATTTTCTTTCATTTCACTTACCGTAGCCTGCATTTTTTTCATCTAATTTGCGACCAAATTCAACCAATTCTGTGAGCATCCTGATCACCAGTGCTTTGAACTGTGCATTTGATAGGTTGGCTGTCTCTTCATTGCTTAGTTGTATTTGCTGTGGAGCTTTGATCTGTTCTTCCGTTTGGACCTTTTTTTTTCTGTCTTGTCGAGCCTGTTACATATGAGGGGTGGAGCCTTAGGTGTTCACCAGGGTGGGGCAACCCAGTTGCTGGGTTGTGATGCTGTATGTGGGGGCAGGGTCAGAAAGGGAACAATGGCGCTTGCTACGCTCTGTCAGATTTCAGTCGCTTCCTCCATTCCCCCCAAGCAAACTGGGCCCTTCTGGTGCTGATTCCTGGGTGGGTGGGTGGGTTTGTGCACGTTCTAGGACCCTGTGGGTATCTCCAACAAACTCTTCTGTGAGGCTGGGAGTTTCTCCCGGCACCTCAACCTCCAAAGGTGTTTTTAATCAGTGTTTGAGGCTTTATTTCCTGGTGCTGGGACCCTGGGTTGCGAGGTCTGTCTCACTCCCCAGTTTCACCTGGTTTATCTGCGCAGGAATGTGGGATCACCCCGACAACTGCCTTGTGCACAGTGCCTCGCTTCACAATTGGCCACTTTGCTGGGTCTGCCCATTGCCACCCCGTGCCAGGGGTCTGGCCGCTGTGGTCTTGCACGCCTGGGGTACCTTATGCTCCCGGTCCCACCGCTTTTTGTGCCTTGACCCCTGTCTGCCTGGCTGCCCTACTCCTTCTCTCCTCTGGGTCTGGATGAATGTGTCTATTTTAACTCCTTGGTTGTCCAACTTCCATACAATTCAATCTTCTGTCAGATCAGGTTGTTATCATTTCTAAATTGTTGCTGACCTTATTTTGGTTGTGCGAGGAGGCACAGTGTCTACCTACGCCTCCATCTTGGCCGGAATTCCCTGTTTTCTTAACGTGAATAATCCTGGGACCAGCATTCTGAGTCAGGTAGTATCTGTTCTTCCCCACACTGAAAGTATAGAATATGATGAAAAATTACTGTAATGCCTACATTTAAACTATTCATATTACTGAGTTTTATAAAAATTCTAAACCCCGGGGGTGAGGGGGGCAAATGGTAATGGAAAAAATACAATGAAAAAGCAAAAAAAAAAAAAATAAATGAAATGTTCTAAGCACTCATATAAAAGACAAGTGCTTTAAGTGTTAAATAATGAAGAATTTATTATTCTTAAGCTCTGCATTCTAGAGGGCAATACCGTACCTGAGGGGTGGGGTGATACTGGCCGTTGCCCTTAAATTAGGTACGAAGCTAAGCCCTGGCTGGCATAGCTCAGTGGATTGAGCTCAGGCTGCAAACCAAAACATCGCAGGTTCTATTCCCAGTCAGGGCACATGCCTGGGTTGCAGGCTACAGCCCCCAGCAACCACACATTGATGTTTCTCTCTCTTTCCCCCTCCCATCCTTCTCTAAAAAAAGAATTAGGTATTCAGCTCAGCTGCCGGTACAATTCATCAAGAAGCATACAACACATCTGCGATACAGAATCCCATGGGGAGGCCGTCAGGAGAAGAGGTCTAAAAAGGCTCCCTAAAGTGTGTCTAATAAAACTGGGTGGGCGAAGGGATTTCTTTCTTGAAACTCGGAGCCTCTCAGCTCCTCCCTGGTAACGCTGGCGGGGAGCTGTGTGGGCATGAGTGACGTGTGGGTGGTCACACGGGGAAGCCCGGCTGTGTGACCCTGTGCGGGACCAGCAGAATGGAAACTGCCCGAGAGCTTCCTACCACCCCCCGCCCCCCCACCAAGGACATTAACTGTCGGCTCTTTTACAGCCAGCGAATCGCTATGATCGCAGGCCTGGAGCTGGACAGAGTTCCTTATTCCGTTCTACCTTTTCTGCACACAGTTGAAATGTTCCAGAAACAAACATTTTTCATTGATATTTCTAAACGAACTCTTAAAATACCTGGAAAGAAACCCAATTTTACAGACAAGTTCTAAGCATTCAGACTCAGAAAAAGCTTTGTTTCCATGTCTCTTTATTTGTAACATAAGCTAAATTTTTAAAATTACCTTCTTTTCCCAGAGTTGTTAGAAGACCTAAATGACAGCGTAACTCGTTATGAAAATACATTGCCCAGTACGAGACCTGCTGTAAAAATGGGAACCGAGGTTCGGGGCTCCAGGGGTGAGTCACTGAAGGTCCAACCAGCCCACCAGCCACAGGATGCGCTGGAGTAAGGCCACCCGGGAAGGGCGTGCGACATGCGCGGCCCAGTCACCCCAGAAGCATTCTGTGCGGTGGTTTCCCGCCCTCTTTTGTCAACGAGCCGCCCTACTTAGTCTTTCCTCTCACATGTGAAAATAATTCATCAGACGGGAGTCATGTTTGTAGGTAAGCTAAATCACAGAATACATGGAAATAATTTGTTCTTTTTTTTTCAATCAAAAAGCCTTAAAGTAGGGGTGCGAATGGAGGCCACAAGTGTACGCTGCAGACTCTCATCACCACTGAAGAAGCGTTTTCATAGACTCGAAACTGTCATTAGTGCATTCAGAGTTGGGTGAAAAAAAGATTTTAAATACTGCTACAATAACACAACGTTTACAAGAATCAGCCGGGGACTGAGGTCATTTTAGTGAGCTACCCATCATTTAAATATAAGAAAAGTAATTCCTTGGTCCAAATTAGTGAAACCTTAAAAAAGATTGTCTCTAGAGAACATTATTTGAGGAGAACCCTTTCCCAGACACGTCCTGATACTCCAGTTCATTTTATAACAGTGACGGGTGGACCTTCCAATCACATTGCTGTCAGAAAGCTGTCAGGCTGCCGTTTCTCCGGGACACGTTGTCCCCCGAGTGCTGTTCCAGCCCGCAGGTCACACCCTCCTCGGCGTTGTTCAGGACCTCGTACATAGTCCCGAGCCCGCCGTTCACGGCTTTCTCGTCTCTTCGAAAAGACACAGGCAGACTGGCCAGGCTGAAGCTGACGTCCTTGAAGGCGTGCAGCAGGAAGATGCCCACGATGATGGTGCAGAAGCCGCTGAGCGTGCCGATGATGTCGTCCGCGGGCATGTCCTGCCACTCCTTGAACAGGATGGCCGAGCACGTCAGGACCGACGTGGTGAAGAAGACGTAGTAGATGGGCGTCACGAGGGACGTGTTGAAGATGTCCAGCGCCCGGTTCAGGTAGTTGATCTGCGTGCTCACGCACACGATGAGGCTGAGCAGCAGGGCCCAGGCCAGCGGGTGCCGCAGCACGGGCCTGCCCGCCACCAGCTCCTTGATGGCGATGCCCAGGCCCTTCACGCAGGACACCGAGAACGCCCCGATCACGGAGCAGATGGTGATGTACACCAGGATGTTCGTCTGCCCGTGGCGGGGTCCCACCACGAAGATCAGGATCAAGGACACGATGACCACGAGTGTCGCGAAGACCATGAAACCTGCAGGAGGTAAGGACGGGCTCTCGTTAGTCAAATGTTTACACACTTAAAGAAAACCGGGAATCTGAAATAAGATGTTAACTTGATAGGGAGGAGGGACGGTGCAGCCCTAAAATAAGTATCAGCTGCTTCTGCTGCTCCAGCCACGGCGCACTCACCAAACTTCGGTCAGACACACACGCTGGAAGAGTAAACTAGGCTTCTATTCATAAACTCACATCACCAACATTTTTCTTAAGAAGATTTTATTTATTTTTAGAGAAAGGAAGAGAAACATCAATGTGTGGTTGCCTCTCATGCACCCCCTACCAGGGACCCATCCCGCAACCCAGGCATGTGCCCTGACTGGGAATCGAACCAGTGACCCTGTGGTTTGTAGTCTGGCGCTCAATCCACTGAGCCACACCAGCCAGGGCTCACCACTAACATTTTTATGGCAGCACCTCAGGCACCCCGAAAATTACAGCAAAGAAAATGGCATCAGGCTGACGTACAGCCATCTGTTCTGCAAATAGCATCGCCTGTCCCCCACGGGAGGGTTCTCACCCAGGACAGAGTGCCACGGAGCCCAGTGGAGAGAATCACAAGGTGATTCTCTTGTTGAACTCAAGTTCAACAAGAACAGGAATTTCAAGTCACATTTGCTCTAAATGGAGTACATTTTTTACACATTTAGGGACAACCACTGGGGTAGAGAGCAAATCAATGAGAAAACATGGAAACGGCCGCCAATTCCGGCGGAGCAGCAGATGCAGAGCCGCGGCAGCCCGCTATTGCCCCGGGCTCCCAAGGGCCCTGCGTGCCGAGTGTGCATGCTCCGCACAGCGGCCCTGGGGGGCGGCTGCGGCAGCAGTGCGAGGAACAGGCACAGCAGCCACTGTTCGCGCCTCAGACGCTGCTAATAACACAAGCAGTCACAGGGCACTCAGAGGAGCAAACACAACACCAAGAACAGATCACAAGAGGCGCTGCTGGGGATCTAAGGGCCAGCCTGACCCCGGAAAGCGGCCAAGGATTGTCCCAGGAGTGGCGCCAACACATCCAGAAAAAAATCGACACCTCTGATCCACAGTAACAGAGGACTGTCTCAAAACAGAGGACCCTCCATCGCACAGAAACAATGAAAACCTCCACAGTCTCCTCAGCAGTCAGAGCAGCCGGGAGCCCCACCTGCAGAAACGGAGCACAGGGGGCAAGGCCAGCCCCATGGGACTGTTCCCACAAGCAACTGCCAGTTCCAGGGCCGGAAAGCCAGCAGGAGGGGGCCAGCGGGGCTGGTGGGAGTTCAGTGGACTAGGTCAACAAAGGAAATTGAAATCGTGAGACATAATGGGCCAGGACCCCAGAAGGGAGGGCAGCGAGGGGAGGTCTGTGCGGTGTCTGTGCGCAGTTCTCCGAAGGCGCTGCAGGCCCAGCTGCTGCGCGCGCATGGTGCCAGAGGGGGAGGCAGAGCGCCTAGGGAGGAGGTTGCAGAGACACCGCAGCGTGGGTGGCGGGGGTCCAAGTCCACCCCGCAGGCCGTGGGTTCACAGCCAGAGGGTCTGGGAGCAAGAGTACGGGGAACCGGGAAGAAGCTGCCCCAGCACAGCGGATGCAGCACGTGGTGGGGAAGGTGACCGGCTGCACTCCGACCTGCCTGCCCGTCAACATACCACGTCAACCCGAGCAGCCGGAAGTCAAACTCAACGACTAAAGACAAAGGAGAAACATCACAGAAACAGGCCCCGAGGCCGGCAGCCAGCGAGTCTTCGCCTGTCAGGCAGGCGCGGAAAGGTCAGAGAAGGGTCAGTAATGCACGCACAGGAGTTTCTGGGTGGAAGCCCAGCCAGCCAGCCCGTCATGTGCACAGGACACTGCGCCGGCAGGGGCGGGCGTGGGACAGGTAAATCCTGCTGTGAAAGCCAACAGTTGATGGCCACGCCACCTGAGAGCCAAAGCGAGTGGCCTTGATTTTCAGGCCCCACACACCCAACCCGGTTCGGGCAAGTTCACCAGGCTGCAAGTGAAGAGGCCCGGGCCCAGCCCGGCCCTTCTCCAGTTACTTCGGTGACTCGGGACAATTACCCGAAACTCTCTGGTCCCCTCACCTGTCAACGGGAAAACAAAGATTTCTGCCACCTCTGCCGTGGGTGTGCCTAGGAGATGCTTATGGTGCCTGATCAAGACTGGTGACTCATTTACTGGGAAACTGAGCTGCCAGCGTGAGAAATCAGTTACTCCTCCATTTGACTTTCTGCCCTAACTTCCTCGTCTCAGACAGAGAACTTGGACTTGACTTGCCAGTGTCCACAGGCAGCCAGGATCCTATCCAACATCTCTTCCAGCCTCCACCTCCAGCACCAGCCTTGTCCAGACCGCCAGATGGCCGGCATCCTGCACGCAAACTTCCCCACAGCATCCACCTCCGCCCGGCCGCCCACCCCAGGCACTGGCCCCAGGCTCCATCCGCCTCCCGCCCGCACTTCCCTCCCTTCCTCCCCACTCAGCCCTCTCAGGGCGCTCTGACCTCCTGCAGCCTCGTTCAGTTCCTGGCCGGGCTCCCCAGCCCTCAAACTCTTACCCAGTCCTCTCACCAGCCTGACTTCCCACTTCGCTCCACCCGGACCTCCCTCTACCCCACGTGCTCGCACACACACGCCCGCCCCCTGGCCTGGCGGAACGCTTCCTGTGCCCCTCTTCCTACTGTTTTATCAAGGTCTCATTTAAATTTTCCCTTTAATACAGAGTAACCTAGTTATGTATTCCTTTTTAGCACCAGAGCCTGCTCCCTTTTCCCTAATAAGCAATGTTTATCTTTCCGTTGGCATGGTTGTTGCAAAATAAGTATTGTTTTGTGTGCTACGAAAAAATGAAAATAAAAAAAATCCATCCAGAACCCAGCACATCCTACACACCGAGCGCCTGTGGGTCTGATTCCCGGTTGGGCACATGTGCACTTTGCAGGGTCCGTCCCTGGTGGGGCGCATTCGGAGGCAACCAATCAACGTTTATCTCCCTTTCTCCCTCCCTTCCTCTCTCTCTAAAAAAATAAGTTAAAAAACAAATCAGAACCCAGCACACTGAATAAAACTGACCCACATGCAGGCAGTGAGTGAGGAATTTCAGACAGTGAGGGCAAAGAGAACATCCTAAAAGCTCCCAAAGTCAAATGACAAATTTACACACACACACACACACACACACACACACACACACGATAAAGAGCCCTGGCTGGTGTGGCTCAGTGGGTTGAGCACCGGCCAGCAAACCAAAGGGTCACTGGTTCGATTCCCAGTCAAAGCAAATGGCTGGGTTTTGGGACAGGTCCCCAGTAGGGGGCGCGTGAGAGGCAACCACACATTGACGTTTCTCTCCCTCTCCTTCTCCCTCCCTTCCCCTCTCTAAAAATAAATAAATAAAATCTTTAGAAAACCATTCAGACAAACTAAAAAACCCACAAACTGAAACACTACACTACAGTGAGCTTAATACAGCCTTTCTTTCCCTCACCTGGGTCCCCGAGCTTGTGAGACATTTCATCGAGCGTCTCGATCTCCTCTTCCTTCGGAGCATGGATGACCATAACCGTGGATCCCAGGATACTCAGCAGACATCCGATTTTCCCATGAAGGTTAAGCCTCTCGTTCAGAAAGTATGAAGAGAGAATGGCACTAAACCGGGAGGGAGGAGGTGGGTAAGATTCAACTATTCAGCTACTTTTCTCATTTTTAAATATCAACACAATTCAGACATTACATAGTTGAACTCGAAGTAAAACAATGGGGGCTTATAAAGATTCCAGCTTTCAGCCTAGGGACAGAAAATGCCTTTGATCACAAAATGAAAGCTTCTGGGAATCACCTGCTTCGTCGCACACTAAACCGGCAGAGTTTACCATCCTTCTGCTGTGGGAAATCAGCATGAAATTTATAAGAAATGGAGCTACAGACAAATCTGCTAATTAAGCATCTATGCAAACCGATGTTTCAAATTTGCTTCACTTCAATTTATCCTCATTGGTTGACACACCCCTCTTATGTGTTCATTTAATTCTATATAGTTGGCCTACTAACGATCAAGTTTCAATGCTTTATAGCTAGTTTTATCCAAATATTACAAAATACAGTATAAATCTATAAATGTACTAGTATAATATACAGAAAGATTGGGATAAAAGATATATACCATAAGATATCTTTATATATAATACATACTATCTTGAAAAATAATGTTATTTACATGTAATATTTATATATACAAGGGGGGACCCCCCCAAAAAAACCCTGGTATTATCTTCTGGAGGGCAGAAGATAATCTGTAGTCCAGGGTTCCCCCACTAGGTGAGTGTTCCAGGAACCCATCTGTATCAGTGCACCAGCTGGTGGTGGTGTGAGAGGTTGCATTCGGCTCCAGTGAGTTTTTTTTCCGAAGACTCTTTCTGTGCATTTGCCCATTTCATGATGGGTGATTTATGAGCACACCTGCCCACACTGTGCTGTGTTCAGCAGTTTTTGACCAAAAACGGCACGACCCTGGGCTTCATCCTCCCTATTTACCCCGTCTCAGCCCGAGCAACCTTTTTTGTTTCTCCAGGTGAAAAAAGTCCTCAAGAAAAATGTTCTGCGGATGTGGAAGAGGAGAAACAAAAAAATGGCAGAAGCATTTAAAGGCATCAGAATTGGTGAGTTCAAAAACTGTTTTGACCAGTGGAAAAAACTTCTCGATAGGTGTATTACATCCTTTGAAGGTAACTGAAGTTGAAACATGTGAGAATAAATACACAGTTTTTTATAAATAAATTCTGAGTATTTGGGGGTCATACACACATCACTTTAAAAAAAGATAAAAATATCTATCAATTAACTACTCTGGGGACAGAAACCAAAATCCAGCCTTCAGTATGGACTTAGCATCTTAGCGAATCATTCAAGGAACAGAAACCCGACAAGTCCTGGATGGCTCCCTGCCAACAAGCACCCAGGCTGGTTTTGAGAGGCACCTGACCTGCCCCGGTCAGCGATTTTCAGTGGTAGAAATAGGTATAATAGGTAGCAGAATAGGCAGCCCAGGTGGAATGGTGGTAGAATGGGCAGAAACCTATCCATCACCAACCACCCCCACCAGGTGCACGTGTCATAGGATAAATACTGTGACCAAGTGCCACTTGGAGTTTTAAAAAACTGAAGTGGAAGTAAAACTAGTACTGGCTGTGAACACAAACAAGTCAAAGCACAAAAGCGTTTTCTCTCATAAACTGCCAGTTGGTCTGTGTGCAGAAGATAAGCTTTCAAAAGCAAATTACAACATGGCATTAAAAACAGTCTCCAGGCTGTTTAAATGTGAATTCTGCTGAGCACGTGTCATTAGCTGGCCCCGCCCACTCCCGGTCTGAAACGCCGTCCGATGTCAAGAGCACGGAGCCACGTGCCCTTACCTTACGAGGACGCTGAGGGCACCCAGTGGAGTCACCAGGGTGGCGGGCGCGAAGGCGTACGCAGCGAAGTTGGCCACCTCACCGGCTCCCACTGGGAGGGACGACAAGAGAAAAGTCTCAGAGAGAAACATATTCACTTAAAATGGAAACACCTGCATTCTACTTACAGCGGTATTTCTATATACTCCTTCAGCTGTGTCTGGTAATTTCCCTATTTTCTCCCATCTGTTCATAAATTCTCAACATCAGAACAGAGTCCAAACCAATCAGACACAATACAAATCTGTCTGAACTGAACAGCTGTAATTTATACTTAGTGTTTGAAGTAAACCATTTTAACAGATATTTATACCCTATGACAAAAAACACAAATCAATTAAAAGCCGCTAAAACTGGTGTGAAAATATTTGTCATGTCTTTTTCACTGACTTTTTCTGTTTTGAAAGACTTTACTTATTTATTTTTAGAGAGGGGAGGGGAAGGAGAAAGAGAGGGAGAGAAGCATCAATGTGTGGTTGCTTCTCGTGTGCCCCCTGCTGGGGACCTGGCCACAAACCAGGCATGTGCCCTGACCAGGAATTGAACTGGCAACCCTCTGGTTCGAAGGCCAGTGTTCAATCCATGGAGCCACACCAGCCAGAGATCTTTTTTAATAAAAGAAGCCCAACTCTTATACATCCTTGGGTACCTACTAAGTGCCAAATGCTATTCTAGGATGAATAAACACAGTAGGGAACAAAACAAAGATATGACTGTTTTAGTGATAAAACAAACCTACATTTTAGTGAGAGGAACAGACAAAACCCCTGGCAAGGGGTCCTATGTGTTACGCAGAAAAACATGAAGGCGAGGAATGGCACACTAGCAAGCAGGGTTGTGGCGCCCACATAGGGCAACGAGGGGAAGCTTCGCAGCTCTGACATGAACTCGGGGGGTGACCTTGCATCTTCCTAGCGGCGGGGAGCGTCCCAAACGGGGAGATCAGCATGCACCAAGCCTTAACTCAGGGCCCCAGTGGTGTGTCTGAACAGCGAGCGAGCCAGGGAGCTGCGGCGGAGCTTAGGACATGGAGTGTGGCAAGGGGGTCAGAGGTCTGGACGCCTCTGTGAGCCCCGTGAAGGGGGTCCTCTGAGTGGAAAAGCCACCGGGGAACCTTACACAGGAAACAGATGTGGTCTCTTAGAAAGATCACCACTGGCTGCTGTGTTTTCTAGAATGGTCATGTTGAAATTCACTCAGCGGTGTGTGAGTACCTGCCACACACTCTCCGCAATGCGTGCCGTGCGCAGGGTTAAGTCTGCCATTATTCTTGGGGAGTGAGACTATTTCACTGTGCTTTCAACTCACGTTGCCCCTTTTCCGTTGTTTACTGGCCAAGTGAAATCTTTTCGTGAAGCAGCTGCTCAAGTTTCCCCTATTTGTTTATTAGACTACTTGTTTTCTCTTAGTGAGGTGATTTTATTTTGAACATGAATTTGCTGCGGGTTAAAAACCTTGTAATTATTATTTTTACATACTGTGACTTGTCTTTCCATTCTCTTAAACTCCTGATCAAAAGAAGTTTTTAATTTTATTGTGAAATTTAAAAATATGTTCCAGCCTTGGCTGGTGTGGCTCAGTGGATTGTGTGCTGGACTGCTAACCAAAGGGCTACTGGTTCAATTCCCAGTCAGGGCACATGTCCCTGGGGGTTGTGGGCCAGGTCCCCAATAGGGGGCGCACAAGAGGCAACCACACATTGCTGTTTCTTTCCATGTCTTTCTCCCTCCCTTTCTTTTAGAGAATTTTTCTCTTCTATTTGTTAACATGGTAAATCACAGTGACTGGTTTTCCAAATTTAGACCAATTTTGCATCCCTAGAATAAATCTCATTTGCTCCTTAGTTTGTTTAGGATTTGTATATATACAGGCTGGGGAAAAACCAGGTTTACAGTTGCCCCTCGGGCTGCCTGAGTACCTCGCCAGGCAACTCCAAGTTAGCAGCCGGTGCGGGAAGGGCCAAACTGCAATGCCTCTGGCTACAGCTTCCGAAGTCACAAAGCATCATTCCTGCTACACTCTGGTCACCCGGGCCAGCACTCATGGGCGCCAGACGGCGTCACACAAGGGTGTGAAAACCAGGGGTGAGGCTCTGGGGGCCACCCTGGAGGCTGCCCCACACCCCTGCACAGCCCAGGCACATCCCACCTCCCCAGCCTTCACATTTACTATTTCCTCCCATTTAAAATGCTCTTTCTGCTCGGTTGGTGTGGCTCAGTGGACTCAGCATCAGCCCACCAACCAAGGGGTTGCCAGTTCGATTCCCAGTCAGGGCACATGCCTGGGTTGCGGGCCAGGTCCCCAGTAGGGGGCGTACGGGAGGTAACCACACATTGATCACGTTGATGTTTTCCTCTCCCTCTTTCTCCTTCCTTTCCCCCCTCTCTAAAAATGGATAAAATCTTTTTTAAAAATAAATAAAACACCCTGGCTGGCATAGCTCAGTGGATTGAGCGCGGGCTGCAAACCAAAGCATCGCAGGTTCAATTCCCAGTCAGGGTACATGCCTGGGTTGCAGGCCACGGCCCACAGCAACCACACATTGATGTTTCTGTTTCCCTCTCTCTCTAAAAATAAATAAATAAATAAAATGCTCATCCCCCGAATATCCGTATAGGCAGCTCCCTCACTTCCTATATGAGACCTGCCCCAACCCCACCTCTAAAATGTAAAGTTGTCAATCCTTCCTTTAACCTCCCTTCCCTCTTCAGTCCTAACCACTGTTAGCATTTATCCCAAACACACTGTAACTTATTCTCTTGCTTATTATTTGTCTTCCCTCTGGAATGCTCCCTCTCCATGGGTAAGGATCTGTTTCTCTGACTAGTGCATCTCACCACCAGGTATACAAAAAAGTGTATTTGATGAGTGAATAGTCAAATCAGTCGCTTTGTTATTTCAGCTGCCCTCGGGCTTAGAAAGAACATTTACGTGATTTAACCCTGAAGACTTGGAAGGCTCAGGGTTTTAGGGGGCTTTTTCTCTGTCCCTTTCTATGGAAAGTCCTATCAACGGCACTGCTTCCCAGCTGGGAACCCCCAGCAGGTGGGGGGTTAAAAAAGGGTGCTTCCTGTGCCCTTTCACCTTCAAAAGCACCGAGTCAGATGGAGCAGAGGTGAAGGACACAGACACACATCAGACAAGTTTTCACTGGACAGGTGAAAGAGTCCTCCCATTCAAATTAAGGAAGCAATTAAACTGCTAAATGACTTGTACAGGCTTCCATTTTTAATTGTATTTTTTAATATTTTATTATTTATTTTTAGAGAGAGGGGAAGGGAGGGAGAAAAAGAGGGAGAGAAACATCAGTGTGTGGTTGACTCTCGAGCGCCCCCTGCTGGGGACCTGGCCCGCAACCCAGGCATGTGCCCTGACTGGGAATTGAACTGGTGGGTGACCCTTTGCTTCGCAGGCCAGCGCTCAATCCACTGAGCCACAGCAGCCAGGGCCAATGTTAAATATTTTGAGTTTTGTTCATTAGTAAAAGGACTTATTTAAACTTTTAAAAGTTGCTGGTAACGTGAAGCTGTTAATAGCACCTGCAAATATCTCAGTATACAACTATACCATTTTCTGAAAATACTCTGTACGTACTCGAGAGCAGTCCAGCCCACCACAGCCATTCCTTAAGGTATGCGTGGCCGCCTTGACCTGTGGATGAAAACACAGTTCACTTCTTGGAAAGGTCACCAGGCACCTACAAATTTAGGGCGGCTATTAGTAATGACAGATTTTAACAGATCTCATTTGCTGCTCACTGCTGCTTTGACTACAGGTTCTCTCCTGCATAAAGGGATTTCTTAGATAATATTTTTATGATCACATAACAAAAGGGGATGCGAGGGTCACAGAATTCTAAAAACGTTTAGGTTTTACCATCATACTGAGTGAAGGAATGAAACCAACCCTTATACTTCAGTCTTTTGTGAAGTCAGCTTTTATAAAAAGTAAAGTAAAGACAATGAACCAATCAAAAGTGGTCCAACCTCCAAGGAATTAGCCTGAGAGCTGACAAGCCCCACAGTGGTGGGTCAGCCCCTACGAGGCCGTGACCTTGGACAGAGCGGCCCACACTGACCAGGCATAAATAGATGGAGACGGGCTCACGGTCTGGAGCTGCCCGGAAGCTCCTCCTGCTTTTTCACTTGACCTTCACCCCAACCAAAGTAATCAAGTCAAGAAGTCAGTCCTTAAGCAGTGTGCAAAACAGAAAGTGAAGCAAGGAGAGCCTCTGGCAAGCACGTTCGTCATGGGCAAGGAGAGTCTCTGGCAAGCATGTCCGTCATGGGCAAGGAGAGTACCCGCCGCAGGAATGGCCGAGGAACAGGAATATACTTGTTCCAGGGGCTCCCCTCCGCCCATGAAACCCCAACAGAGGCTAAGCTTCGCAGTCTGCATGATGAGGTTCAGCCACACAGATGGCACAGCCAATAGGGAGGTGGCATTTTTTACTGTCAGAGCAGGTCTTCCTAGGAGGTGGGAACCAGGTCTAGAACTGACGCAGAGGCTGAACTGCAGAACGTGAGTGGGATGCAGCGCAATGCTGGGCACAGTCATGAATGCCACAAAGTCAGAGTTGGGGCCCATCACGTCAGGCATCCCCCGGGGGACCCCCTGACCTGAGTAGTCTCTGGGGAAACAACCCACACCCCCGTGCAGAAGTTTACTGGACTCGGGACTCTTCACCCCGGGGAAGCCCTATCTTCCAAGGAAAATATGCCTAAGGTAAAAATGCAACTTCCACTATCCCGGACATAAGAGCCTCGTCCTGAATGAGGTTCTGATTCTCTGCAATCCCAGACCTCCTTTCTCAGCAGAATCATCAGAATGCGAACAGCTGGGCGCTAATCGGCACCGGACCCAGGTCCCAGTTGATGACTCCAGGGCCGAGTGGGTAGTTTATCGGGCATCGTCTCGTTTCCCGTTTTTCTCATTACAAAACTGATGTTGCATCCTCCACCCACGTTTACAACCCTCGAGGTTTGAGGCTCTGAATACATTCACTAGGAACCAAAAAGGGGCCGTGTCCACAGTCCAAGCCCTCAACAACGTCAGCACGCACGCACTGACGTCACACCGTCGCCACGGCACCACCTACCTGCTCGCATGGAGCCTTTCCTGGCAAGTCGCAGAAGACCTTTTTTTTTCAAAATGAAACTCCCTCCAATGAAAACGCTGGAGCTCATAGCCAAGCCCAGACCGATATAGAAGTCATATTTTCCACGCCCCTGGCTCATTTCGTTCGTGACTCAAGAGGTCCCTGCGACTCACATCGGTCACAGTGAGACGGGGACGTGCCGTGCAGGAGGCAAGACGAGGCGGGCTGCAGACCTACGTGAGGCAAAAAAACAAAAGATCTTCAGGGAGCGATCAAAACAGCGCACGTGCGATCCAAAATTGGGCTTCATTTTTCTTCACATACACAGCAATAGTGCTTTCCTTGTTACTGCTATTGAAAAGCAATGTATTTAGTAGTTATATGTAGTGCTAATCTGATTGCAGCAAAAGATGGTATCGCGACATAAAACTGTCCTTATAATCCAAACTCACAGGACCAAAGGACAGAGTGGTGGTTACCAGTGGAGGGGGTTGGGAGGAGGGGGGACAGAAGGTGCAAATTCCCAGTTACAAGATAAGGCAGTCCTAGGGACGTCGTGTACAGATGGTACCACAGTGAATACTGTACTGGATATTTGACAGTGGCTAAGCGTAGATCTCCAAAGTTCTCATCACAAGAAAAAATGTGTATTGCGGTGATGTCAATTACTATGGTAATCATTTCACAATATACACATACATAATTATCATGCTAGGCACTGAGTAAACAGATACAGTATTACAGGTCAAGGCTAACTCAGAACCCCATTGACACTGAGTTTATAAACGCTGGTTTCATACTTTAAAAACGTTTCCAGTTTTAACTGACAGTCCACAGTGACAAAGCTTTACTTATAAGAAAAAACAGCCCTGGCAGATATGGCTCAGTGGACTGAGTGCCCGGCCTGCAAACCAAAGAGTGGCCAGTTCGATTCCCAGCTGGGATGCATGCCTGGGTTGCAGGCCAGGCCCCCATTAGGGGGCGCCTGAGAGGCAACCACACATTGATGTTTTCCTCTCTTCCTCTCCTCTCCTTTGTCTAAATATAAATAAATAGTTTTTTTTTAAATAGAAGAGTTGGGATTTTTATTTATTTATTTATTTTTAGAGAGAGAAGCGGGGGGGGGGGGAAACATCAATGTGCGGTTGCTGGGGGTTATGGCCTGCAACCCAGGAATGTACCCTGGCTGGGAATCGAACCTGGGACACTTTGGTTCCCAGCCCGCGCTCAATCCACTGAGCTACGCCAGCCAGGAATAAATAGTTATTAAAAAAGGAAAAGAGAAAACACTCTACACGATGAACATGAGACATAAATATACACATCTAGCTTATAAACACACCTAATTTCGCAAACATGTCCTTATAATCTATATAAAGAAACTCCAAGTGTCTCACCCACACATTTTCTTCTTAGCTGTGTGGATATAAGCACATGGTGATTCACTGCTCATTGAGCCTATCTGGGGGGGTGTGGGGACAAGGTGGATTGCACATAATTTCGTCAGCAGAGTGTGGTGGCCCTGGCAGACACAGGTGCACCAGGCTGCAGGTGTGCTGCTGGTGGCTTTGCCAGCAAGCACAAAGGCCACAGGCACCAGACGGCTCAAGCCGCAAGACCCAATGGCCAACTTGTGAACTGTTGACAAAGGAACGAAAACAAAGCGTAAAAAGTGGAGGGAGAAACATTACTCAGCAACAAGGTTTATGATTGGTTATAACTACCACCCAATTTTCTGGTACTTCTTGATTTTTTTTGTTTATGATTTTACTTATTCACTTCTAGAGTGAGTGGGAGAGAGGGAGAAAGAGAGAGACAGGGAGAGAAACATCACCATGTGGTGGCCTCTCACATGCCCCTTACAGGGGACACAGCTCACAACCCAGGCATGTGCCCCGACTGGGAATCAAACTGGTAACCCTTTGATTCTCAGGCTGGCACTCAATCCATTGCCCACCAGCCAGGGCAGAGTTTTTGTAAGTGTCGACCACAGGCACTATGGATGAGATTATGCATCTATATGAAATCCCCCCAGCCCTCCCAATGCCACTCCGAAGGCAAGATAACGCGGTGGGGAAAAAGTCCTCAGCTGGGATGTGGACACTCAGGTCTGCCTCTAGCTGGGGACATCACTGTGAATGCATCATAACCTGAAGACACACGCAAGAAAGAAGTTAAACTGTCTATAAGGTCACTGAGGATTTTAGCGACCATTTTACGTGCCAAACTATGCTAACACCCAGCCTCCACTTCAGCCTGCCTGTAGGATCCCCGTGAATCAGGGAGCCCGGATGACCCGGATGGTCGGTTTGCACGGAGACACAAGCACGTGCCACCAGGGCGGGGAGGTGGAGGCCTGGGAAGGAAATAGCGAGGGGAGAGCATTCCCTCTGCACGCTCTAGTGAACTACTGTTTGTGAGACTCTCGCCTGCAGCGTTGCCGGTGCACTGCACGCCCGGTCTGTCCGTGCTGACACCCCGCTCTCCCTCACTGGCCTGCCAGCAGCTTTTCTATCCTGGGCACCCAGGTATCTGGAAGTCTCAGAACACATCTTAATACATGTATTTTGGGGATAAGTACGGATGGATGGGATCACATAGAAATGAGCCTAAAAAATAAAGTCGCCCGCCCTTGAGAGGTCGTTAGCAGACACGAAACCACCGCATCAGCTGGATCAGCATCCCAGAGCAGCGCAGCGGGCAGGTGCGCCCTCCCAACGAGCAAGGGTTGCCCCGCTGTGATAAGGGCACCCTTCCCCACCCCCAACACTGCCCGTCCTGAACTCTGTTCTCAATCATCATGCGAGCACCAGTGAGGAAGTGACTCGAGTTCCTGGTTCATAAATCTCCATGTTGAAGGTCTGAACGCTGTGGAATCAATGAAACGGCACTTCGTTATCTGTGAGACAAGACCCAGGAACAAGCTTATCTGCGATCAACAGCTTTATCTACAAGTCCAATCCCAAAGGACAGCCTCCCACATCCAAATTCACACTCTCCATAAGCAAACCTGACTTTCTCGAACACCCAGTGTTAATTTACTAGCACTTACTAACGCTTCCTACTAACTGTCAGTAAAGCCCCCTATGGGCGGTGTAAGGTCTAAAACTAAGACCCGGCACTGTGTGCTGCCTTGGCACGTGGTAAAACCACCTAACCACACGCTTCCTTCACCTCTCTGCTGCCCAAAGACAGTCAATAGCCCCCCTACCCCCGAGGTTCCTGCTCAGCTGCTACCCTGCCCGGAGGTAGAGTTGTGAAAGGAGGCCGGTCCCACCCTCCCACAGGGCGCTGGTGGGACACACCCTCCCTGCAAAGCCTGCCTCCCAGAGCCCCTGGTTCTTCACTCGGCAGCCCCACGTGGCCCTGTGTGTGGCCAGTGTCCCCCTCCACCAAGGAAGAGCGTAAGTGACTGACAAATGTGGTCCCTCTCCTCAGCCCACTGTCAGGGGCCACAGGGAGGAAACCCCACCCCTGCTAACGAGCTGAGGAAGAGGCCGTTAACACAATACATTATAACAGAATCTTACTCATTTTATCCTAAGGTCACTGAAAGGTCAGCATTCCTAACTTTACTAGGAATTTCCTCCACTTATGTGTATAAAGTTTCAGGAGGCTGTTTAAAACGTATTTATCACGGAAAATGCCAAACGCACTGACGTACAGAGGAGGCGTCTCTGACGGGGTGGGTACTCTTATTCGTGTGGCTTTGGAGAGTGGCGTTGTCCTGGCTGCCCACTTTGTCCCCAGCACAGGGTGTGGCTCCCGTGAGGCCCCAGGGTCTGGACACCTGCCCCACCCCGCCAGGACCCACCCTCCTGCCACTGCCAGCGGCCTGGTCTCCACACCAGGCCGGGTCCTACTTCAAGCTGAGCTACAGAGACGTCAATGGCTCCAACCCACAGACACTGACCCCTCCTTGGCACTTCTGTCTGTAGTCAGCCCCATAAAATTTAATATTCTGTTAATGTTCCACCTTTTAAGATAAACTCAGTAAGTTCCTTCAAGACAACGACTTTTTGGTTCTTTGTGCTGGTTTCCCACAAAAGGTACTCATTTACGCGGGCAAATTGGATTTATCAGTCTTTCTGGAATTCAGGTTTTGTGTCCTCACTCCTGCAACTGCCTGTGTGTATGAAGCAAGGTGAGGGAGGGGGCGAGACAGCAAGCAACATAAAAATGCCAAGCTGCCAACTTTGATCGTCCAGAGAGGAGTGAGCTGCTTGGCTGTTCTCAGACCTGGTAAAGCTCTGCTCCCCTCTCTCTAACTGCAAGTCAGTCATAGCTGGGAGGCCTTGAAACAGGATTTTTAAGAAATTTCTGCCCTGGCTGGCGTAGCTCAGTGGATTGAGCACGGGCTGCGAACCAAAGCATCGCAGGTTCGATTCCCAGTCAGGGCACATGCCTGGGTTGCAGGCCACGGCCACCAGCAACCGCACATTGATGTTTCTCTTTCTCCCTCCCTTCCCTCTCTAAAATAAAATAAATAAAATCTTTTAAAAATTTTATTTATTTCTTTTTAAAGATTCTATTTACTTATTTTTAGAGAGAGAGGAAGGGAGGCAGAAAGAGAGGGAGAGAAACAGCAATGTGTGGTTGCCTCTCACACGCGCCCTACTGGGGACCTGGCTTGCAACCCAGGCATGTGCCCTGACTGGGAATTGAACCAGCAACCCTTTGGTTTACAGGCCGGGGCTCAAGGCACCAAGCCACATCTGACAGAGGTAGGAGGGGTTTTTTTTGTTTTGTTTTGTTTTTTATTCTTAAGGGTTAGCTCCCAAGCAGGGCCGGGGTTTCAAACAGCTAAACAAGAAAACTTGCTCAGTTTAGGAACTTTCAACAAGGTTCCTAAACCAGAGAAGAGGAGCCCCAGGTGGGTGCCTGGCCACCCGACCTCCCAGAGGTACTGGGTAGACGGCCGCCCTCCCCAGCACACCCACCCTGGGCTGCTCTCATTAGTTATACGTGGTCACCTGGGCAGCTACTATGTCACAGGCACTGGAGTTATAAAAGGGATCAAAAGTCCCTGACGTCAAGGATGCCACAGTTGCGAGAACTGAAAATTCTGAAAATAACCTATTCAAATTTTAAACACGCTTTCAAAGGACTCAGAGTTTCCAGCTTGTTCTTTCTAAATTTTAACACAAGTTTCACAACTGTGTTCACTAATATTTACAAATATGTTATTAACTTTTATTGAATGCAAGTGCTGAAAATGAAATAAACACATCTCAAAGAAAATAAGGGTGTGAAACTGATAATTTAAGAAATAGGGACAAATGGACTGGCTACCTTTCCAACACCCAAGAGAAAAGCCTCAAATAAATTCACTTTACAAAATAACTAACAGCCTTGACCCGGGAGGCTCAGGGGGGTTGACGTCGCCTTGGAAAGTGGAAGATCACTGGTTGGATTCCCAGTCAGGGCACACGCCTGGGTTGTGGGTTGGATCCCCAGTGGGGGGGCACACAAGAGGCAACCACACACTGACTATTCTCTCCCTCTCTCCCTTCCTTCCCCTCTCTCTAAAAATAAATTAAATCTTTTTTTAAAAAAAGAATAACAGTAGGCAACAACATCACCAAAGTCAGTGAATTTCAGAAGTGGTGGCAACTTCAGTGCGTTTACAGCGACATTTCACTTCCACAAAAGCTAGAGAAGATCTGACTGAGGTCAGGGCCTCTGATAAGAAAACACGCACAGAGATGCTAATGAGGCAGCTTCTCCGGTGGGCAGGGCAGCGGGCAGCAGAACCAGGCCAGGGCCCCAGGTCTCATTCGGAGCGGGATGCCCTCCCCACAGGGTCCGTTCAGTCAGGTGGAAGGCGAGCACATGGCGCTCGAACCAGCTCCAGCGCAGGTCACCACCTCTGTCCTCGTCACCCAAACTGGACACAGAAGTCAGGGTGCCAGACCAGCTCCACCTTCCTGAAACTCGGCCTGGCCCCTGCATGTCGCCCCGACCCTAACCCAGCTAACGCAGCATAAACACAGGCGCTCCCATACTGCCCGAGAGAACACACGCCTGCCACCTCCATCTCCTGCTCGAAACCTGGAACGGCCCCTCTCTCTGCAGAAGGAAGCGCGGATGTTGTAATCCAGTAACTCAGTCTTTCACCATTTGGTCCAAACCTGCCTTTTCAAACTGCTTTCCCAACACTGTGGTTCAGATACCCCGTGTTCTGCCCGAGGTCCGCACGCCGCTGCCAGTCCGACCGGCCCCTCCCCCTGCTCCACACGGTGGACACATCCTCCCGCTCATTCCAGAACCTACTACAGAAAGCACTTCTGCAAGGAAGCCCTGCTTGCATTCCATCCGCCAGAGCAATCAGCCTTTCCTGAACTCCCAAGCCTTGAACCTAACCTGCCTTTGGACACTTTTCCTAGACTACATTCCAGCTACTTATGTACAAGACTCACATGCACTTCATAGTGGCTCCCTGCGGACAGGCTGGGCACACTCAGGTCACTTACTCAACCAACAAATGTTTATGTGAATACACATTACCTTCCAGAAACAGGAATACAGCAGTAAATAACAGAGGCCCAAACCAGGCCCTCATGGAGTTTACTTTGTTAGAGGTAGGGCAAGACAATAAGCAGAACATTATATATGCCCTGATTGGTATAGCTCAGTGGATTGAGCACTGGCCGGCCTGGGAACCAAAGGGTCGCTGGTTCGATTCCCAGTCAGGGCACATGCCTGGGTTATGGGCCAAGCCCTCGGTAGGGCAACCACATATTGATGTTTCTCTCCCCCCCTTTCTTCCTCCCTTCCCCTCTAAAATTAAAAAAGAACATTATATCAGGTGGTAAATGCTAGGGTGAAAAGTCAACCTTAACAGCACTGGGGAGTGGGGTTGGTTAGGAGGGCTAAAGGAGAAGATAACATGGAAAGAAGGCTTGGAAGGGATGGGAGGAGAGCAAAGCAGAGGAAGAAGCACGTGCAAAGGCACTGAGGTATGAGCAATACACAGTTTCTCAGTATAGAAAGGCCACTGAGGCTGACACAGAGTGCATGCGGGGAGGGAGTGTACCACGGCAGGGTACTTTTATACAATACAGGCAGCCTAAAAATCCGTGTAATTCTTTTTTATTATTCTGTCTCCCTAACAGAAATAGCTACCACTTAGCAAACACCTGCAGGGTCGCTGTTCCACATGATTGCTATAAATTATTTCTAACCCATTCAATAAGAAAACAGCTTTACCCCCACCTCCCAGAGGTTAAGTCTCATGCAGAGGACTCCAAAGAAAGTGACGCAGCCTGAAGTGGGACCTCAGTGTCCACGGGACTCTATTCCTGCCCATACGATAGTAAAACTTCAGAGGTCTTCATCTGTACTAATTCTGCTTGGTTTCCACAGCCTTAATTTTTTCCAACCTCTCACTTGGCTAATTATTTTTAAAAGCCATCCTTGTAAATGCTACAGAATCTAACCTGAACCTCCAACCCTGATTTAGCAACATTAAGTCATAAATTAAAATTTTCACATACATGTAAGTTTAATATGTTCTCTCTTATGGGGAAAAAAATGGGTGGAGGAAGTGGAGATGATTCATTTCCTTATAAATAATATTTGTTATTGTCATTTAAACTTATAAGCCCTGCCAGAGTAGCTCCGGCATGGAAAGAAGGAAATACAGAAGTAGACAAGACTAACTAGTTACCACCTTTTAAAACTTGGTTACTAGCCTCCATGCCTCCATGAAATAAAGACCTATATTCTCACATATTTCCTTTTACTACTAAAATATATATGTCCCAAATATATATATATATTATATATATATAATTAAGCACATGGTATAGAGAATTTCTAGAAACAAAACTAAAGCGTCGTAGTCTTGTATCAAGCGAATTGAAAAACCTAGCTAAGAGATTGAAGAGACACAAAACTATAAACGTACAGAGTTTTGCACAGTTGTACGGAAAGGGAGAGGATTCGGTGTCGTAATAAAAGTTGGGAGATTAAAACACTCTTGCTCAGAAGGTCTCCACAGACTTCCAAAGCTTGCCCAACTGTCAGCATTTCCGCAGGAGCTAAAACAATCGCCAAAAACTCACCACGACAAAAGGAAACTGTTTTAATGGACTTAATAACACGCGCCCTAAAGGGGTGAGCCAGGTTCCCGAGGCGGTTCACGGCACCCGATCCATGGTGGGATTCCTCGATGCAGGTTACGAAGAAAACCGCCTCCATCTCAGAACACGCCTGGCTCAGTGTCCCGGGGCAAAGGAGGACGCACACGAAGCGCCCTCCCCAGTCCCAGAGGAAAAGGATCCCCCACGGTTAGCCCCTCGGCGCTGTCCGAAAAGGGAATGGAGTGGCTACCTCACCCCAGCGGGAAGGCGACCTCGAGACTTCCCCTCCGTTACCCGGCTCTGCTCACCTCCACTCACACCTTCCCACAGGCCGTGCAGGCCGATTTCTCCTGCGCTCGCGCGGCCAGCGCCTCCGTCGCCGTCCAGTGGGAGGTGCAAGCATCCGGGGCTGGAGCCGCACGCGCCGTCTCCTCCATGGGGGAGCCTCGAGGGCAACTTGCCCTGAACAACCTCCAGCCCAGGCGGCTACCGGTAGCAGGCACTGCCGCGAGGAGAACGTGGGCGCGGTCGAGTGACGCAAGAGGCGGCGTGCGCAGGCGCCTAGCGGAGCAGCAGAAGTCCCGACCCCGGCGCGCTGTCTGGGACAGTTCCGGTTTCTTTACCGGGCCCTGGTTAGCGCGGGCACAGCAGACGGCTTGGGAGCCCGAGGGGAGATGTGTTGGAGGCAACGTGTTACAAGGTAGCGTTCGCCTACCAAGGGATCAAAATCAAAGTACAGTGTGCCGCTTAAAATGCGAACTCCAACCCGCGGTCAGTGTGTGAAGAGCCACTTTAAGCGATGTTCTAGCGGTCCCCTAGGGTAGCGGTCTCCGAGAGAGCAAGGGGCGTGGCCAGAGCGGGACCCGGAAGCCGAGGCCTTTCGGACAGCGCTGGGGGCGGGGCCAGGTGCTGGGGGCGGGACTGGAGCGGGACCCGGAAGCTGGGGTGCCTGGGGGAATGCCGAGGGAGGGGACCAGGTGCTAGGGGCGGGGCGGGGTGGGGCGGGGTGGGGCGGGGCGGGGCGGGGCCCGGCTCAAGGCAGGGCCCTTTAATTTTAATCGAGTCCTGGAATTACGTTCTGTAGGAGTTCGTAGTGTGGTAAAAACGCCTTTCGAGACCCTTGGAGCAGAGATTAATTTTTCATGAAGTACATAGGAAACCCACTGTTCGGCCATCCTGCCTTGGCTCATCCGAATCAGTAATTACCTGGGTTACTGGTGCAAAGACCCTTTGGGGATGTTCTGGTTTTTGACTAGATACAAAAACGCTGCTATTCGAAATTTAAATCATTCCATTTTGGGTGGGAATCTTCCTAGAATGAATTATGTATTTAACCAAAAAATGCCAAATCTAATTTGCTCTTTTCAGACTGTAACTCCACTGGACTATTTTATTATAGACGGCACAGCCCCTCCCACTCTGGTTTTAGTACAGGTAGCTACGTAGCTTTTGATTTGAAAGCTTTTGCCCTGTGAGCTTGACAACCAGACAACTTCATTTTACAACTGGCTCAGAGGACCTTTTCTGCCTACGTCTTTGGTCTCAGCCAAATTCTAGGTGGATGACACGTCAAATAAGGAATTATAATGAATATCTGGAAAGGGTAAGTGGGTCTCATTGACGAAAAACGGCTCTGAGTAGCTACCCATCCACACAGTAGGGATAATGGAGACAGTCAGGCTCCCTCACCCGGATGTCCGGGCAAAAATGACTCAGTGGGGTTCATATAATCTTGAGTAAGGGCCCGCATGCGCAGAATCAAGCTCTGTCCTATAAGCGATGCCTCCCAATGTGGACACACCTAGCTGGAGTTCCCGCTGGCGCGCACACGCGTATCACCCCACCCGGAATAAAGGCAAATCAGACATCCCCACCGCTCCACACACGTTTTCCTCTTGCTGTTGGAATCCCGCGTTAACGTGCCCAGCCTGGAGGTACTACGACACACATATTTAGTAGAGTGACTTTCAGCTCCACTCTATCCGCCTTAGTCTTGAGACTCTCTGGCCAGGAAAATATGGTGGTTTCCCACCGAAATCGTGATGCCAAGAAGCCTGGACTAGTCTGCTGCAGGAGGAGATCACGTGGAGCAGAGCACCTGGCCAAGCCACCCAGCTGAACGATACTGTGTTCAGAGAGGAGAAACTGATGAGCCCTGAGAATGAGCCAATTTGGTTGAGGTCCACCCAACTGCACTGCTGACACACTGATATTTGAGAAAGAATAAATGATTGTTGTTTTAAACCACTCATTTTGACATGGGTTGGCATGTAGCCATAAGTAACTCAAATCCCATCAGATGCCTCTAGGAGGCAGATGATTGTAATGAATGCTGTGCTTGGTTTGTCTGAAGAAATATCTTAGAACTTGCCCTGGCTGGTGTGGCTCAGTGGACTGAGTATTGTCCTGAGAACCTAAAGGATCACCAGTTCAAATCCCAGTCAGAGCACATACCTAGGTTTCATGCCAGGGCCCTAGGAGGGGGTGCGTGACAGGCAACCACACATTGATGTTTCTCTCCCTCTTTCTTCCTTCCTTCCCCTCTCTCTGAAAATAAATAAAATCTTTTTGAAAAATAACGTGTTAAACATATACCAACCATGTGACCCAGCTGTTTTAACCCTCGGTATTTACCCAAGAGAAATGAAAGCACGTATCCTTTAAAATACATATAAGTAAATATTCAACAGCAGCTTTATTTGTAATAGCCAAAAAAGAAAAATGGAAATAACCCAAATGTCCATCAACAGATGAATGGATAAACTGTGGTATATCCATATAATGGAATACTACTAGTCAATAAGAGAAAATGACCCGTTCACACATGCTATAACATGGCTAAATCTCAAAATAATTGTGATAGGTGAAAGAGGACAGACCAAAAAAGTGGTACTAAATGATTACATTTATATAAAATTCTAGGAATAAATAAATAGAATTCCAGGAAGGTAATATACAGGGTCTGGCACAAATAACACCCCCTTTTATTACATAAAAATCTTTCATTACAAAATCATAAGCATGTCATTCTGCCACTTAATAATGTCACACTCAAACCCACCCTATAACAGTTTACGTGAAATGTTCGAATTCAAATCACTTTTCCATCCCGTGTGTGATGTTCACATACCCTACCGACCACACAATGGCGTTGCTTCTGCAGGACCCACATAACAACAGAAAGCAGATACATGGTTGGGAGGGGTGCAGAAGGATGACAATGGGGAAAAAAAAAACTTTAGGGGTGGTGGATATGGTCACCATCTCACTTACTCATATACCATCATGACATATATCAATACTTAACCTGGCTGGTGTAGCTCAGTTGGCTGGAGCATCATCTCATACACCAAAAGGTTTTGGGTTCGATTCCTGGTCGCAGCACATACCTAGGTAACAGGTTCAATCCCTGGAGTGTGTACAGAAAGCAACTGGTTGATATTTCCTTCTTATATCAATGCTCCTCTCTCCCTCCCGCTCTCTAAAATTAATAAATGTATATTTCAAATAAAAAAAATACCAGATGGGGGTCAGAGTGTGATTAACATTGCTACAAAGATGAGGGCAATGTCACGCCTACATCATCACACAGGGATGTGACTCAGCAATGGAGGACCTGGAGCACGGACTCTCTGAAGGGTGGGGAGCAGGCCTGGTTTTTTATGCTCCTCAAAATGAGCTGCAGCACTCCCAGCTGGAACTAGAAAGTTCTCTGGTAGGAAGCAACCAGGGCAAATTTTTGTAGAATTTGTCACGCACATCATAACCCCCAAAACCTAAGTGTAGAGGGTTAGTCATAGAAATATTTGGGCCCTGGCTGGTGTAGCTCAGTAGATTGAGCATGGGCCTGTGAACCAAAGAGTTGCCAGTTTGATTCCTAGTCAGGGCACAGGCCTGGGTTGCAGGCCAGGTCCCCAGTAGGGGGTGTGTGAGAGGCAACCACACATTGATGTTTCCCTCCCTCTCTTCCCCATTCTCTATAAATGAATAAATAAAATAAACAAATAAACAAACAAACAAACAAATAAATAAATAAAATCTTAAATTAAAAAAGAGAAATATTTGGTGATTTTTAAAAATGTTTGTTTCTGCCCTGACTGGTATGGCTCAGTAGGTTGGGCATCATCCCATGAAGTGAAAGCTCACTGGTTCGATTCCTGACCAGAGCACACGCCTGTGTTGTGTCCCAGTCCCCAGCTGGGAGCATATAAGAGGCAACTGGTCAATGTTTCTCTCTCACATCCATGTTTCTCTCCCTCTCTCTCTCCCTTCCCCTCTCTCTAAAAATAAATAAAATCTGTAAATAAAATCTAATAAAAATGTTCGTTCCTGATTTCATTATAATACTTTGACCAAAGTATAATTCAATCTTTTTGGATAGAGCCTGAGAACACATATTTTTGCTCAAATAAATTTTTTTTTTCCAAAAAACAAGTGCTGGTGAGGATGTGGAAATCTCATGCACACTGGGTGGGATTGCAGACTGGGGCAGCCAGTGTGGAACACAGTATGGAGGGTCTTCAACAGATTAAAAAAGGGACTGCTTCATGACCAAGTGATTCCACTTCGGGGTATTTATCCGAAGAAACCCAAAACATGAATTCAAAAGAATATACGCCTGTCTATGTTCACTGCAGCGTTATCTACAATAGCCAAGTTACGGAAGCAGCCTAAATGCCTATGAAAAGAGAAGTGATATACATACACCGTATTTTGCCATGTATGATGCACACTTTCGCCCACATTTTTGAGGGGAAAATAAGGATGTGTATTATCATGGGTAGTACCCAAAATACCTTGTGTCTCTTCTTGTGTTTTGTCATGATTGGTTACATGAAACTTCTTATACCATATGTCCAAAAATAAATGCTAACATTCCTTTGTAATACGAAAAATGAGTATTTGAATAGAAATAAATAAATAATTGAATTACCAATTAAAACAAAAGACTCTTCTTGCAACTTTGGGCCAGAAACATGGGGGCACATGATACACAGTGAAAAGAAAATACATATATATTATCCCTGATATATAGTTTAATGAGATCTTACCATTCGCCATCAAATGTGCTGAGTGCAGTGAGTCAGGAAGTAAGATAGCAAAAGACAAATACTATATAATTTCCTTTATATGTGCAATCTAAAACATAAAATGATAAAACAGAAACAAACACAAAGAGAACAGACTGATGGTTGCCAGAGGGGAGGGGGGCCTGGGTGAAAAGGTGAAGAAACTAAGAAGCACAGGTTGGTAGTTAGAAAACAGTCACAGGGTGATACGGACTCCAACCAGCAGGGCCCGTGTGTTGTGGATGCAATGAACAAATTCACATGGACTGCAGAAGTCCTGTGGAGAAAAAGGGACGGCATGGCCACTCTCTGAGTGAGAGAGCCACTCAACCTTTGCCTAGATAAGCTTTTGTTGCTTTTCTGAGCTCATTACATCGAGGATGGTCCTCATTTACTATGCACAGGTTGGCTTTAGGTGATTATGTTTGATAGGTAACAAAGGAAAGGCTGTTGCAGATCAAGGGGAAAAGTGGTT